CAAATCTGAATTCTAAAAAATTGCAAGAACTCCTCTCTAATCACATGTACAAGCGCAATAGGACAGTAAAAATAGCATACGGTTACCAAAAAAACTTAATGCTCCTTTTTAAATTCTAATATTCCAGGCACCCTCTCCAAATCAAACACACAAGCACAACAGGACTCTCAAAATAACATACTGCTTCAAAAAGCTTATGCCACCCTATTAAAGCCACCATTGAAATTAAAACAGAGAAATTGTTTCACAATGAAAGAGATATTCATCAAACACGCACAAATCTTATTCCAAAGAAGGTATAGAAAAAATATCACTTTAATATTATACAAATAAGAGGACTTGTTATTTTGTTAGCCAAAATAGTTAAAAACCTTATGTTTACTTTATTTCAAATAGATTCCTACTATTAATTTTCTTTTCAACTCTTGAGGATATTTTATTTTCACCTCTTGGTAGTTTGTCCATCCACCTATCCTCTTTAATAATATTATTCTTCTATTAAAAAATGCTTGGAGTGTAATGTCTGCGTTCTTCATAAATCTGAGCATGAAACTTTGTACTAAACACCTAGAGCTCAAAACACAAAACTAATATTATCTACACCGACTATATAACGATGATGTGACATGATCCATAAATTGAATGGACAAGAGAGGAGACTTACAATCTGTGTCTCTGAAAGGGGGCAGAGCCAAGCAACATCTTCAATCCTAGTCTCATTATTTTTATCTGACTCAACCACGCTTTTCAACCTTTTCTTCAAGCGTTTGTCCTTCATTGGATCAAACTGAGGATTGTGAGATCTGAATTCCTATTGAAAATTCAATCAAAATAAAACAAATGTTAGTTAAAAATCAAAAGGATGAAAAGCGGAGCTATTGTCAAAATACAAAAGCATAAGGGTGTTCGTGATGCAGCTCGCGGTTTGGTTCAGTTTTGAAGCCTAAAGACCAGCCAAACCAATCATAAAAAATATATGCAGTTTGGTTTGGCAGGTTGGAGTCTAATATCAAAACTGATCTAAACCAAACTGGTTAAATGCAGTTTGGATTGGACTTGTTAAATTGGTTTTCAATTTTCATACACATGTGTAATAAGTTATATAAAAAACACAAATACAAAGGAGAATCAATCATTTCCTCTCTTAATAGACAATTATAAATTCCCAATGCTTTTCTTCTTGTCCATGATTTGAAAAACAGAACTCCATAATGCAGGAACACTATAAATATGGTTTAACTAAAGATATGTTGATGCTGGCTAGTGGATATATTAGGAGCTAAGAGTGTGCTAAGAATATGTTAGCAAACTTTTTACTAAAACAAATTGATGAATTTCATAAAATAATCTCATAGTTTAATTACATTGCAATGATGTCTCTTGTTAATTAATTATCTCAACAAAGCCCTTTTGAGAATTTGTAAAGCTGGTGTGAAGATGCAAAGCCATGGAACGTACAGCAATATAGGATTATACTTACAGAGTTACAGGTTCTTCCTTGATATAACCAAAGTGAATAGATCCTTTAGTAAACTGAGTTTAGGCTGCTTGAGTGCTGATACAAGTTACAATAACCAATATGTTTAAATCAACTTGCGTACCCAAAACTTTATCATATAATTGAAACCTGACAAATAATCAAACATTAATACGGGACCCAAATAATATAAAACATGTATCCAGAGTCTTACTACAGCAGTAAATCATAGAAAACTAAGTAAAATACAGCTTCAAAGAGAGAGAAATGGTAACAGACACAGAGGGAAAGGAACAATATCTTTGTTATAAGCTAGTTCATCCAGATTTATTAAACCATCTATAATGTGTGATAATCTTTCCATGAAATCCTAAATTTTAACATGTAATAATCTCCCAAGTGTGATACCACTACTATATCGTTATGCAGGCTTTAAAAACTCATACTTGTTATTATTACTTGTTTATCTCTAAAAGTCAATGTAAGCCAACTGACCCTAATACACCAAATCTATATAGGACATTACAAAATTTGGACACAGTTATCTTATAACGCAGTCTTTAATAGCTTGATCCTTTTATTATAAAACTTCTGCACAGAATGAATGCACTCAGATTCATTGTTTCCACATCTACCACCAAATTTTATGCAACCATCACATTTGACTCCATCAACACCAATCCACTCAAACCTCAAATCCTTCATCTAAAACATTTTCTACATTCAAAAAATCCCTGGCAGCCACTTTAAGAACAGGAACATTGATACTATTGTTGCACCCCAGAAGATTGAAATTAGCTACATCAGTACTTAACATCAAGAATGCATCACTAACACCATCCCCTGTGGGACACTCAAAAACTTTTGAAGAATCAAAACTAACACCTACATTTTTTTACTGCATAACTTCATGTTCATATCTTACTGTCTTATGCATGTTGTGCAGAAAAAATTTCTTCAAGAAATTCAATGAGTTAAAGTTGTGATATTAACTGAATCAAGCACTGCTAAATTTAAAATCTTAAACAGAAAATCATGTGCCTGCTATCAGATTTAAAACTCTTAAACAGAAAATCATGTGCCTGCTATCAGATTGAAAACTCTTAAACAGAAAACCATTTTCAAACACAAAATTCATTGTAAAATGTAAGAAAAAGAGAAAAAAAAATGCAGGAAGAAGAAGAATCAACTGAGCCTTTTTTAAATGTGTTGGTGCTTGTTGTGAGTAAGAATATAAATCAAAATTCAAATCCAAATCCAAATCAAAATCAACAATGGTGAAAAAGAAACCCAAGACGAGAAAAGGAAAAAACCTGAGTGCTTATCAAATTTATGCCACGGTTTGTGCTGCTTTCTCCATTCTCATGAGATGGTTGACGATGGTGTTGTGAAGGTGTCGAGCTTGACGGGGGTGTCGTGAAGGTCTCGAGCTTGACAGTGGTGTCGTGAGGGTAGCTTGATGGTGGTGTCGTGAGGGTGTCGTGAGAGTAGCTTGACAGTGATGTAGCTTGATGGTGGTGTCGTGCAAGGTAGTTAAAATCCCGATTTGAATTGTAAAATCCTACGATTTTACGATTTTGGAAGTCTCACCGATTTAAATCGCGATAAAATTCTGGTTGAGTAAAATTGTTGTAAAATCCCAATTTAAATCGTAAAATCCTCAAATCGTGGGATTTCACGATTTCACTTCGATTTTGAAAATTCCTCGCAAAGCCCCTTTTGTTGAATCCTATTGGAGTTGACGCCTCTTTCATATATCTTCTTTTTATGGAATCCAATTTGACTCTAGCAGCTTTGAACCCTAACATCATTGTCAACATTCAACAGTCCTTCTGGTGCGGGCAGCCTGGACTGCAACTAAACCCAGCAGAGTGCTACTGCTCTGAGAGTGCTACTGCTCTGAGTTCAAGTCTAGTGCTGCTGTTTTTGCTTCTTTTATTTTTACGCACGTCGATGCATTGCATTCTTATGGAATAGATTTGATTTGTGAGTGCTATTTGTTAGTGCTTTTACTGATTTGAAAGTTTTTTCTCCTATTTTATATGAATTTATATGATATATATGAATTTTATAAAATCTTACGATTCCATTTAAAATTTTATGATTTACGATTTTCACTCTCCTTTGCGATTTAACGTCGTGAGGTAGCTCAAGGCGATGCCGTGAGAGTGTTGTGAGGAGCTTTTTATGGCTTTTTTTCATCAAGGGAGTACAAAAAACATCAATATATATAATGGCAGTGTAGACTGTAGAGTATAGGCTCACAAATTCTAATCATAGCCTTCCAAAATGGAGATGGTGTTACTTTCAAGCTGAATGGCAAAACATTCCACTGAAAATGTGCATTTGGAATGCAAAAGGTTGTTTTGGGTTTGTCTCTTGGTTCAAGGCCTAATTGCCTGAAAAACTGACTTCATGTCAAACTTTGAAAAGATGTGGGCATTCTTTATATATGAATAAAGGGTATAGATTTTTGGCAGGTAAAATTTATCATCCTTAATAAACTAGTTGAGAGGACGGTAGTCTACTACAAATTTTTTATTTGTTTTGGTCAAACTTGTTTTGATCTTTTATTTACATCTATATTGTGCATGCCCAATCACAGGTTCTTGGTTCAATTAGTCTTGTTTGATCAATTACTGACACTCTTTTCGTGTCTTGCTTTCAATTTTGATAGATTCATTCCTAGATAAGTTGCCTTCATTGAATTTATATTTTCATTGAGTTTGAAAGGTAAGGTGACAAAAATTTCTTCTCTTTTCCATACAAGATTTGGATGTTTGAGAAGATCATGGCTATCAACACAACAATTGAGAAGTTTTTCTTTGATTTCTTCGTATCCAAGGAGAACTTCTACTAGAGAGAAGAGCTTGAGAATTAAATTTTCGGCTTGAATTCCCTCCCGATGTTTTAATCCATTTGCCAAAACTTGTAACTATTTGTTTTCAATAAGAATATCTCTTCCTATAAGAATAAGATTTTTTTTTTCTAGGAAAATCTGATCCTATAACTTTACTTCATACTTCATATGATGCAATCACAAAAAGAACTTTATTCTAATTTTAGACAGTGTTATTAGATCAATTGTAAAGATTTCTAACATGATATTTGGTGTGAAGTAAATGAATTTTATCTTTTTGTTATCTTATTTTATCTATATTAAAAACATGTCAAATTGAATAATTTTAAAAAAATATTGAAACACTTATTACCAACTTTAAGTTTTAAGAAAATAATTTTTAAAACTTAAAGATTCCAAAAAAATTATTTTGATCATCCCACTGTTTTTTTAAATTGTTTTTTTTTTAATACCATTGATAAACAACCATTTTTTGGGACCCAACCGAAGTTTCAAATTTCGAAAATAAATGTAACCATGAAATCATAAAAATTATCCTAAAATGTCTAAAGATACATGCTTAAAGTCTTCATACTTTATTTTCTTAAAATCTAACTTTGTACAATTTTAATGAAATTCATTAACGAGTGCGTTGCATAAAACGCTATCGGTCGTATTACATCACTAAAAATGAAAAAATTCATATTAGTTATGTAACCATCAACTACATCCAACTAAAATTACCACATAATAGTTAATAATTAAACAAAAACGACTAACATGAGTGTGCATATCTAAATCTCTTCATATATATGACCGACTGATTCGAGGGTTCAAAGAATAGAACTGCTGCAGGAATCAATTTAGCAGGACAAATCTGCCCCAGTTCAGACACTACTACAACCGAGTAAGGTTCAATAATCAATGCACGGTCCAAGTACACTAACCATAGTTTAGGGGTATCACTTCTAATTAAACTCTGACTATTTACAAATAGGAACAAATAGTGTTCAAGCAACATTCATAGAGGTTGAAAGGAGAACATAAGCTAAAAATTGCATGCCGTCCTGGATTTTGCATATTGCTGTGGTTTGATCAGCTCGAAGGTGTTCAGAGAAGGCACTGGCTTTTTCCTGGACTGAAGTCCGGGGAACAGCTCTGTGAGACTCCGCAGTAACAGCTTTAATGGCAGCTTGATAGGCCTCAGTTACATCAGATATGCCTGATAAAACATCACAAACGCCAAATATTAAATGTAAGTCAGTAAAAAATAATTGATATTTCTGGCATATTATAATGGGCATAGTTAGTTTATGATGGCAATAAAGGCTGAAAGCAACGGACAGCAAACCTGTAATAAAACTGTTGGAAACTGTTTCCACATATCCTATCATTGTTTGGGCATTCATTCTTATCATATTAGCTTTAGCAGTAACATCATCAGGCCACTCCAAGTTCACCTTATCATCATCAGTTTCTTCCTCAGTTTTGTTGGCACGAGAAATGATGGATTTGCCAAACAGTAGAAGTTGAGACACCGCAAAACAGCACATTTCAGATAGTCTCTGCAAAGAAAAGCAGCACTTGTTTATTCCCACAACAAACCTTGTGTTAAGAAGAATAAATTTTGCCCACAAATTCCATCCTATTTTCACATACATGAACTCCCTCAGAATGGAGAGATTCCAATCTTGCTGTAGTTCTCTGAATTATATCATTAGCAGCTAGCCCAGCCAAGGTGTTAGTGAAACTGCAATAAGAAAGAAGCATCGCATATAGTAGAAAAAATAATGAAGAAGGCTTCCTTTAACTATAGATGTAAACAGTGAATATAATTACATGATGACAAGAGCCGCTCAAAAGACCAGGAGCACAAAGTGGGAGGGGGTAGGAAAAAAGAATACATTTGTTAGTCTTAAATTTGGACTTGGCCTAATTCAACTTGCTATCTCGTAAAGTGAAGATTGCCACATTCTTTATAACCTCTAGTTTGGTCTCATCTATAGTTGACATGGGATCTGAAGTCTTAACACCTCTTCCCTCCTCATGCCTAAAATTGAACAACTGGAGCCTAGAAATTGTAGGAACTTTTTTAATTGCACTGTGAAAGCTGTACTGTGGGGCCAGGTTGATTTTCTTTTTCTTTTTGCACTCAAAGGTGAGCCAATATTAAATAATAATAGGCTTTAATACCATCTTAAATTTGGACTTTAGCCTAACTCAATTCCAAAATTTAACTTGTAAGGTGAGGATTGTCTTAATTTTTATAAGCTCTACTTTAGCCAAATTTGCAGTTGATATGGGATCTCTCAACAGTTAGAAATGTAATATAAAACCATTCATGAGTCTTCACCCAACTTAAACTTTTGGGACAGTTGACCCATGACATGGTTTTAGAGCCACTATGAGCAAGTGGCAATTGTTGCAGCCACTATCCTTCTAATAAAATGTTGAATTATAGCACAAGTGATCCTGTGCATTATCTGCACTTCAAGCCCAGCAGGCTCAAGGGGCATACTAGAGAACATGTACTACAAAACCATCCATGTGTCTTCACCTAATAAGCTTTTGGGATAATTAGTTCGAGACACTTTTAATGGCGTGATAGACAAATACATTCAAACTTGGTTTGCTTTCACTAATCCTTTGACCGTAAGTACATTTTGTGTATCAAGCCTGCATTCAAACATTCAAATTATTCACATCATAGAGATTTTCCAAATCCATACCATACGTCCACACCCTTGCAGATATAACTGTAATCATTTCCCTTTTTTCTTGGTATATACAACTGTTCCATTTTAGCATATAAGAAATGGACCACTTTAACTCTCAAATTAATGCAAAATGCTAAGTGAATAAAACATCAATAATGAACATATGGAACCAGTTATATTACCCTGCTGCCATTTCAGCTGCCTTGCTGACACTTGAATCATGTAAATTCTTCATCTCATCACTGCTTCCCTCATTTCCTCTCTTTATCGTCTTTCCTTTGTTTGATTCAACACTGCTATCAATTTCAGTACTCAAATTAAAAAGGTGTTGGACCTCTTTAAGCTTCCCATCATATACAGACTTCTGTTCAGCCGATAACTTCACTTTTCTTCGGTTAAATAACAAGGCATAATGACTAGACAAAGCCTCCAATTCCTGAGTATTGCAAATGAAATGACTTGTAAAACTAAATTATAGGGATTCAAGAGAAGGAGGACAATTAAAGAGAACTAATTCTTGAATAATAGAGAACAATATAAATATATGGTATGTAATGTGTTTCAAAATACAATGTACTAACCCCAAGTTATACTAATATAAGACTCTTACTTATAAATGAAATAAGTAAAGAAAAAAATAATGAAAAATGGAAATTCCTTTAAGAGATTATCTTTTGGGTCTAGGTTCTTTAATATCAGGAAACCACTTTGGGTCCCCAAATTATCTGAGTTAAGTTAGATAAATTCACTTAAGAGGACAAAACTCACCCAAAGACTATTGTTTCAATTCACATGAATTGGATGCAAGACCTTGTTTAGGAGAATCAAGCACTTTGCCACTTGGATCACCAAGCTTTCGTTCTAAATTCTAAGAGATCACCTAAGATACTTTAAAATATTCAATTGTTTACAAGATACAAAAACAATATTTTGAGAAATTTTCTAGATATTTTAACAATAAGAATACCTCCAACTGCTCTGGACCTCCATAAATGTAAAAGCATCGATCAAATGTCACTTCCTCTAATAATTGATCCTCATCATTTTGTTCTTCACCTTCTTTTTTATCCTTCTCAACCTCAATTCCGGTTTCACTGATTAACAGGTCCATCGTCTCCTTACCAACATACTCAAGCACTTGCATTCCCTTTGCAGTAAAAGCTTTTCCAGTCTGTAACGCAATGAATAGAAATAAGCATGGATATCTGTTACAGGAACTATTGATAAGGAATATCAAATGAAGAATGATATTTTCCAAACCTCTAGTAGGGAAGGTGCATTGGCACCTGCAGCTCCTGGTCCGTCATGCTGTGCAGATCCAGCAAGGTTTGAAGCTGAATTCTCAAGCCTAAAGAAACATTATTCAGGTTAATAGCCTTTAAACACAAAAGTCTGTTGTGTGACAGGAAACAATCTTGTCCTTTATAACTATACCAGAAATTTGGGAACGTGGAGTTATCTATAAGAATTGCCATCACATATAACTAATGAAGTAGGTGTTGCATGTATGTGGTTGGTACTATTACTTTAGTGTGGCAAAAACGTACAATGTACTTCTTTCTCCATGTCCTTATTTACAATATCCACCACAACCTTTTTCAGGTAGGGAGAGTTATAAGCTAGTTCATAGTTGTTAAATATATGCAAGTTGTAGTACAGCCACATTAGCACATAAATGATTTAAGTAAGAGAATATGATATTTAAATATTATTCATTTTAAAATAACAATATGCAAATAAAAAATTAATATACAACAAAAAAAACTTAAGTTTCATTTAAAATATAGGTTTTGTTAATATCAAACATGGACTGATTTTAAGCACCAAAAAGTGGTAAGATTTTATTAAGGATTTATTACTACTTTTAGGATGCTTAAACCGTCAGGACTTCACATTTTTCTTAAAAAATAACTCATGGAAATCGGTCACAGGCACAAGCATAAAATGAACATGTCATGGGCCCCTTAATGACAGAGAAAGAAAATTACATCCAAGTTCTAACAACATTCAAGAACATCCAACATGGTCATGGCAGATGAACAAGGCATGCAGTAAAACCTAAACAAAAAACAGTAAGCTGGTGGTTAAGAGCCCACAGCCCAAAATAAAGATGCCAAAAAAAGTATCACATTAAGAAGACACAACCAAGGCATATATGCAAATTGAAATCCAAATTACCCAAAGAAGAGAAACATAAGATCAGAACTTGGAGAAAAGAAAAGAAAATAGAACAGAGAAGATAGCAAGCATGTTAAGTTACATCTGCCTAAATGAGAACAAGCCTCTACCAGAAAAACTTATCCAATGAATGAAAACAGGTCAGAACCAATGAAGGAAAGATGAGGGGAAGGGGAGTTTATTTAGAGAAGAATTTGCACAATTATTGGATGGGAAGCATAATTTTTCTCTTAGAAATGATGGCAGCCTATTTCAGCTTAGCCATAACAAAGATGGCAGCTCTCCCCACACACTATTTCAAAATGCCTCACCAAGCATTTAGCAAGGCACAAGAAGGGTTAACATACGACTACACACTAGAATGATCAGAGCAGCCACTGTTCACAACCATAAGCTCAAGTACAACCACAAAAAATGAGACATAAGAATGGCATATCTTATAGTTATAACTGAAATTGCAGATTTTCTCTTTGATTAGGTGAAATTTTTTCGGTATAAAGTGGTTCAAATTAATTTCATTAGGCATGTTGTATTTTATTAATATAATGACTTTTGTAACTTGCCAAAGTGGCACCACAAAGGAATTTATAAGCCTTGAAACTTATATCACTTACAACCAAAACAACAATCAAGCCTTATCCCACAAGATAAGATCGGCTAGGTAGACCATATGATGTCATTGAACTTGGTCAAAAACCAAATTTTAAGAAATATTATTAATCAAAAAGTTTCTTCTAATAACTTCTTCTAAAGTTCTTTTGAGTCTCTCTACCCCTTTTTATTGGATTAAAAGTCATGTCATCCACTCTCTTCATTGGCACCTCCAAAGGTCTTCTATGCATGTGATTAAATTATCTTAGACGGTTTTTCAATCATCTTTTCCATCATAGGTGTTACTTCAATATTCTCATATATACAATTATTACTTTCATTATAGGTGTTACTCCAATATTCTCATGTATACAATCATTTTTTATCTTGTCCTTTCTTGTGCGACCATTCATCCATCTTAAGATTTTCATTTTTGTCACTCTCACTTTTTTTTCATGTTGTTCATTTAAGGTCTAACATTTATTACCATATAGGATAGTTGGATGATAAAACTTTTCTTTTAGCTTGATAGGTATTTTACGGTCATAAATAATTTTTGATATCTTTCTCTACTTTAACCACCTAGTTTGTATCTTTGAGTAACATCTTCATTAATTTTTCCATCATTTTATAGAATCAATTTCAAGTACCTGAACATAGAAACTTATTATATAATATCATCTCCAATTTTAACTTCCAACACATGATCCTTATCTTATTTTTTACTAAACTTACAATACATATACTCTATCATATTTCTGCTCAAGCAAAAACACTTAAATGATTTAAAGGCTCCCTCCATAACTTAAGTTTAATATTAGTCTCTTCTTTTGAATCCTCAACCAACACAATATCACCCACAAAAAGCATGCACTTAGAAATAACATTGTGTATTTTACTGGTAAGCACATCTAAGACTAGATTAAACAAGGGCTTAAAGTAAAGCCTTGATGTAAGCTTATTCTTATTGGAAAGTCCTTAGATATGCCTCCAGAAGTGTTCACACATGCAGTTACCCTCTAATATATGTCTTGTATAGGCCCGAATATATGTTTTGTAAACTTCTTTTTTTTCTAAAGTCTTCCATAACACTTCTCTTAAAGAAAGGGAATGCACTATCAGTTTCAATGTCTCTATGTATTATTATTAAACTAGAAGACTCAACTATAGTCATCCTAAGTCCTAACCTAATTAGGTTCTCAACATAGATTTGAATTTAATTTTGATAGCATATGATCATGTATTGAGAGAAGTGTTGTGAAAGATTTTGGAAAGGAAAGGTGTTTGTGTGGCTTATTTACGAGTTATGCAAGATATGTAGGATAAGGTAACCACAAGTAACGTAGTCAAAATTGCGAGTTGGAGCAGAAGATTGAATGAGTTTTATGAGCGTATCCTGTGCCACTGTGGAGCACTTCCTAATTGACAAGGAGTGGAGTGATGCTCCAAGCCTCGAAGACATTGAAATGGACTGGATTGGCCCTCCAAAACAAGTTGACCCATGTGAAAGGCAGGCTAGGTCACACAACTTAAGTCTTAAGGAAACCTATTTTTTTAATCCAATTCTGTTTGGCCCCTCTTTGGTACCCAACTAGATCCTCTCTTCTCCTTCTTTGTTTGGTTCTCTATTAACCAACATGATGTACCTCTTCCCTTTCTCCCTACCAGTTGAACCCCTCTTCCTCTCTCAAAACATCAAACCTGTATCTGCACAGTTTTTGCTTGTTCTTATCTTCTCTACTTGTTTCTGGGTGTTCTTTGTGTTGTTGGCTTGCCTCTCTGCTTGTTGCAGCATTGGCTTGCTTGTGTTGCATGCTCTTCATATCTTCTTTTATGCTTTAGTTTTGAGTTGCTTTTGTTTTGCCAAAAACTTATGTGATTTCTAATTTTTCAGTTGTATAACATCTTACGAGTTTAATTAAATTTTTGGTGTGATTTAAGGGATAATTTTGTTAATCTTTGTTATTATTTATGCATATGAATATGTGTGTGTGCGTGTGTGTGTTTAAATATAATTTTGCATTTTTATTGATTCTTATGATTCATGCTACGATCCACTGATCCAAGACCCCCTCCCATTCCAACCTTGAAACCCAGTTTTGACAACTTTGGTCTTTCTACCTTTCTTTCTTTTTCCAATAGAGGAAGAATTTTTATTAGAGACGAGTAAATAAAACTGAGGATAAGATATGTTTTAAAAGTAACCAAAAACTAAAAAGTTGTTGCCCATGTTACTCACTTATAACTGTTCCTTACAGTTGAATATAAATTTAAAAATTGTAAGCATTGAATAATACACAGTGAATTTCAATTTTTCCAAATATTCATTATTGGCAAAAGAGGTACTTTGGACCACATTGTCTAATTCTGTTCCTCCTGTCCTAAGTGTTTGAATTTGGTGCTTATTTTGAAATAGAAAGGAACAGCTTCTGTGGGTAATGAGTTAGTTTCCTCCCTGGTTAAGTATTGACTGTGCTGCATACAAATAAAGTTGGGAGGGACATACTCAAAGGACAATTTATAATGGTGCATCTGTTGTATATGCAAGTACAACAGCATGGAAATCTAGGATACAGGTTAAGATATATGTTGAATTGATTATTACAAATATTTTTATGTATAATAATAGGAAAATGCTAAAAGTTATGAAGACTTTAGATTTGGACCACTTCCTCTGGCTTTTTTCACTAACTGATTTACTATTTTCTATTATGTAAAGACCCTTAACAACCACATTTAGAATCAAGCTAAAAATGGTTGAACTTGTAAGATGGCTTTGATGGAAACTGCAGCAGTGAATTACCAAAACTACAGAGTAAATCCATATTCCATACATATCAAAGCACCACTCCACCCTCTTGACCAAAATATAGACATATTCTGTCCCATAAGCGTAGAAAGTTAGCAAGGGATATGCTAAATTCATCTATCCATATCACTCCAATCCTGAATGTTGGGAAGTAAAGAATCAAAAAGAGCATAAGCTCAGTGCTGGAAATGGGGTAATGTGGTGGATCAATAAACATAAACAAAAAAGATAGGATCCAGAATAAATGCAATAAATAGAAAGTAAGGGTAATCTCAATTGAGGAAAAATGGTAAACTCCAATGTAAGGTGAGGACTGATTTATTAACTACACCATAACAGGATTATCCACAATACACTTGTTACACATTTTCAAATACCATAGATGCTTATTTCCGTCAAAATATCCAGATATCTCAATCAGAACAATGATTAATAACTAGACTTGCAAAACAACCTCCATGTTGGTCAACATAAAAATTCCAAAAATAGAAAAATGAAGCAATGAATTATACCTGTGAACAAAATCAGAGCCCCCTCTCAATGCACTTCCTAAAGCACTCCATGCCCCAGAAGCAAAAGTCTCCACTGAATTATCAAAAACCTTCAAACCCTGCACACATAAGGAGCAAGGCTTAATGCATATAAAGTATAGACTGCCTAAAAGCATAAAATTTGAATCCACAAATACAAAACTATTATTTCTCCCTGATAGAACCGTGCAACAACATTAAACCATCAATTGTCTCTCTCAACAATGTCACATATAATCAGTCAAGACAAACGTGAAACAAAAACAAGTCTATATAACCTATAAGATACAATACAAGTAAAATAAAAGTATAAGCTAGAAGCTTGATTAAACACTAGTTTCAATCATCACTCAGCAGAAAAGATACCAATGCAAAAGACAAGCAAAGGGAATTGTGAATATGAAATTTCCATATTTTATAATTCATTGCAAAGACTTGAGAACAAATCAACTTAACATATGTAGATTACACATTATTCATTGCTCTTATATATGGAAATGCATTAAAGAACTACCATCTAAATTGCACATTAACATCCTACACCCCCCCCCCACCCCAAGAGAAAATTTTCCTTTTGCGCTTGCCTGGCTAAGCAGTGAATCTTCACTGGCTTTCTCCAATTTATCCAGAGCAGATTTTCGCAAATTGTCACCCTCATTGCCACTTTCCTTGTCAGCTGCAGATCCTTCAGCCACTTCATCCTCTTTGGGGGATTCTGAATCTTCGGCACCATGTTGCAACTCAGCAATGCTCTTTGATGCTGTCTCTGCAACTGCAGCAGCCTGCATTTCAAAACACCATTATTCCAATAATTCAATATCTTCCTAAAAATCCTCCACAACAAAACAATTTCCAAGATATTAATCCCTCAACTTTTTCATTCAATTTTGTCTATTTTAAGTAATTAAGATAGGATTTATTAGAAACATATAGCATTAATCTCTTTCCACATACCCATGTTGACTCCAAGTAACCTTACATAGTTTTCTTCAAAAAATAACTTCAAAAATAAAATAAAATCTACATGCTACGAATGAAATCTTTATGTTGAACTTGAGGATTCGACGCGAGCAAACCCCACTATCAGCTAAATTAGTGACAAATTAAAAACAATTGTTGATTCAAAACACACGATAACGCCAATTACATAAAAAAAAATTATATCAACAATATAGGAAAAGCCCACATTTATCGAGCATAAATTAAAAAAAAATTCACTGATTGAAATGAATGCATTGGATCGCAACCAAAAGCGACAACATATTCATGTCGTTTCGAAACTGACATTCCGAGAGATCTCTTCGGCGGCGACAGCGGCGGCCTTCTGAAGATCAGTGAGAATGGAGAGGGGAGAAAAGCCCCACCGGCCCCAACCACCGCCGGTGGCAGTTGCTGGCGGTTGAGGATCTTGTCGTTGTTGCGCAACTTCCTCGTCGTCGTTTTTCTTACTCTCGGACTGCGTCTTGTCGTCCATTTGTTTTTGGGGATTCCGATGAGAGTTTGTTTTTTATTCTTCGGGGATTGACGTTAGAATGAGATTATTGTTCCTTACGCAATAGATTTCGATCTGTTGGGTCCATTTCGTTTTGGATTAGAGGATACAACTGTGTAAGCAAAGCAATATTGCAATGCCAAGCGTCGTTTTCGAGGTTTTAAGCGTACCAGCAACGGAACGAGTCGACGTCGTTTTTACGTCACATTGCTCTTTAACGAATCGAATTAAGTTTATGCTTATATCTAATTATGCGTTTTGTGGGTTCTATGTTTTGATGTACTACTTGGCATTATTAAATATCATTGTAAACTTAAATGCATGCATAAAAATTCAGTTTAAGTTTATAATTTATTATAATTTTTATTATTGACAGCAATTTTAGTATAATATATACTTTTTATTAAAATTAATAATAAATATATAAATAAAAATGAAATGTATCATAAATAAAATATATGAAAAATAATTATATTCAAGTTGTTTACTAATTTTTCATAAAATATATTTTTAATATAGTTTGTATAGATTTTTTCGTCTTTTTTTAGTATAATAACAGTAGGGATGGCAATAGGTAAAGTACCCGATGGGCACCCGCAAAATTTACCCACAATGGGTAGGGTATTTACCCGCTATACGGGTACAGGTATGGGTGTGGGTAAAAACCCGTAAATTTTAATGGGGATGGGTGCAGGTGTGGGTATCTAAGTACCCACCCCACCCCATACCCGCATATATATATATGCTTAAACTTTATTCTATAATTATGAATTGAATTTTTGTATTATTATATTACTTATGTGAAGTTATATAAGATTAATATAAAAATATATTTAATAATAAAGTAAACCAAAAAATTTATTTTGGTTTATATTTTTAATAAAAAAATTTATTTACTATTTTATATCATTTAATTAGGCTAACACAATTTAATTATTACATAGTTAATATGAGATTGACTTTTTTTAAAATATTATTTATATATGACACACATAAAATATTTTTTACACAAATATTTTTATTAATAAAATCATATTGATGATTAAATCATAAAGTGAATGATAAATAATAAATATATTATAAATTTTACAATCACCTACTATTACCGTAAACTTATTATTTATTAATAATATTTAAATTTTATTTTTATATTTTAATTTAAAATAATATTTTTTTATGCAACATATGTATTACAAGCACAACTATAATCTATTGAATCTAAATAATATTATTCTTACTATTTATTCACATTCAAAGAAGTTTTTAAAAAGATATAAATATAAAAAAATTATTGTTAATTTTTATTTGTTAATTTTTTTAAGATAAAAAAGTATAATTTTTTTTTAATATACACGTATATTTCTTTATTATAAAATTTTATTGTAACTATTTATCTTTTATTCAAATTTTTTTAAAATTTATATATATTATAAATATTTAATTCACTAAAATAATTTTTTAAAAATTTATATTTTTGATAAAATACTTTCGTATAGTATATGAGTTAAAAAATACTAGTATTAATATATATATATATATATATATATTATATTTATTATTTTAATTAAATTATTATTTTTCTTACACTTTCAAATTCAAAAGTTAAAAAAAATATTTTATGTATCAACTTTCTATCGTTAGTATTGAACTTCTCTACTCTAACTTTATTCGCATTCTCAATGTCTGTCTCACTAAAACTTAATAACTATAAAATGTTATTCATTAGAGTTAGTTTTTAATGCCGTCACAAGAGGTTACTAAGTGATCCCACACGAAGGGACAACCATTGTACAGATCTATTTCGTTGTCGTTCTGACATTACCAATCAATCAAATCTCACACAAGATAGGATTATCACTGACAAATAACTTGTGTGTTTAATTTTGCTTATTGTTTCTAAGAATTTTAGTCTAGAAAATTATTATATTAAGATACATTTAACATTTATGATCTTTGAATATTTGTTTTTTATCTATATTTGTATCTTATTCGACAACTACATATTGAATTTTTGTATTATTATGCTACTTATGTGAAATTATATAAACATATTTTTCTTTATAAACATTTTTTTCTCAAACAAGCGCGAGTAATGGGTACAAGACGGGTATGCGGGTACCCAGAGGGTACGGGTATGGGGATTAATGTTCATATCCACGCGGGTATGGGTCCAGATACGGGTATTTTTTTAAAACGCGGGTATGGGGATGGGTACTGTAGTACCCTACCCATACCCTACCCATTGTCATCCCTAAATAACAGAGCTAAGATATGTTAACACTAGATATTGAAATTAAATATTTATATCATTTAATAACTTTTCATATCATATAAAATTGATCAATTCAATCATTAATTTAAAATTTTTAATAAAACATTTTTCTTTCTATATGTTACGGAAATTGTCCACCAAGTTTGCTAAGCCCATTTCTCTCCTTGTTCTTTACGGTACGTTGAAGAGTTACATTTTGAGATAAGTTTGTTAAAAGCGGGAAAAATTAAAATAAAAAAGCTAGTTCATTGAATTGAATATGCAGTAAAATTAGTTATTAATAATAAATGTAAAAAATGGAAAATATAGATAATTAATTTTTTTGGTCCAAATTTTAAAATTTAGTTATTATATATTTTTATCAAATTATAAATTTGAATTTTACTCTTATTTAAAAATACTTTTTATTGAATAAAATAATATAAATTAATTTATTAAACCCCGTGGACCAGACAATAAAAACTCTCGTTGGCTCAGCTTCTGGGTTATTATTATGCTAACATATGTTTTGTGCCCCGTCTCCACTGGGCATTGCCTCTTTTTATGTAACAACTTTGACATTCCTTCAGTCTTAAGTTAAGAGATTTTCGGATGTGCACTCTTCTAAGTTATATTAGTAACATTATTACTATCATGTACAATATCGAGTTTTTTTAATTTAATTTATCCTAATCCAATTTGAGTTCAAAGGACCATTAAAATAGTAAAATTCTTCATAGTAAATATAACAGACATTATCACAATTCAAATTTGAGATTACTAGTTAATGAAATTATGTAAGGTAACATTTTGCAAACAGAAAAAATGTATTAAGGTTTAGTTTTATGTCTAAAACCCGTTTATTGTATAAAATACATAAAATATAAAATGAATTATGTTTACATTTTATGTTTTCTTATTCCTCTGAACGTTATCAATGACAGCTCTATTTCATATGAGCACCAGGAATCTTTCTGATTTGTGCTTCATGCAATTGAGGGAGGCCCACCACAAATTTTGTCGACATTCAATCTTCAATAATCACAAACATGTCCACATTCAATGTATTTATTTAAAAGAGAACAATTTTTTGGTTCTTCGGACAACAAAATTGAGACTCTAATTTCGTACTAAACCTTGATCTATTGAATGTGTCTGGTGAGAAACATTTGAGGATCAAAGAAATAAGACATATGGGAGACATCGATCCAGCTTTTATACAATCGAAAGAACATCGTCCTAAGTCGAAGGTAGTGGAAACTGGTGAAATTCCAATCATAGACCTCTCAGAGAGGAGTGAGAAATTACTTGTCTCAAAGATTGGCGACGCGTGTGAGGAGTGGGGATTCTTTCAAGTAATAAATCATGGGGTTCCCTCTGAACTCAACAGAAAGGTTGAGTTTGAGGCCAAAAAGTTCTTTGAGAAGAGCTTAGAGGAAAAGAAGAAAGTGAAAAGAGATGAAGTAAATGCAATGGGGTACCATGATGGGGAACACACCAAGAATGTTAGAGACTGGAAAGAGGTATTTGATTATCTTGTTCAAAACACTGCACAAGTTCCATCTTCTCACGAGCCCCATCACTTTGAACTCAGGACTCTCACCAACCAGTGGCCACAAAACTCTCCTCATTTCAGGTAATTTTAATCAGTTAAACATCAAATTGTGATTATTTAATCGATTGGTATGTGATACTATGGAAAAAAAATTTATATTTTTTATTTTTTTACAACCTTTGGTCAATTTTATCTCCTAACATTGAAATAGACACAATTTGTCAATTTAGATTTAGTTCTTTAAAATGCAAAAAAAGTAAATTTAGTGACCATCATCAATGAATTTGATTACAAACACCAAGTAAAGGGTAAGAGTGATTAAAAAAATATTATACTCAGTGATTGACTTTGTTTTTTCCTAATGTAAAGGATTAAACTTGCTGTTGAATTAAATTGATATTTGTTATAATCTAGTTCATGGATGGTATCAACTGATATTTTATTTTAATGTTTATCTTGCATATGATCAAAAGAAGCAAATCACATAAAAATTAAAATAAGGTTTCACTTTGACGATGATATCTTAAAATTAAAATTAAAATTAAAATTGCATTTTGAAATTGAAGGTGATAGAAGAACAATCATAGGTTGAAGATTATGTTTTATCAGGGAAACATTGCAGGAGTATGCTCGAGAGGTGGAGAAGCTAGCTTACAAGTTGTTGGAGTTAACTTCATTGAGCTTGGGTTTGGCTGGTGACAAATTCCATGGTTGCTTCAAGGACCAACTCAGCATGGTGAGGCTCAATTACTATCCTCCATGCCCATTCCCTGACCTGGCACTTGGTGTTGGTCGCCACAAGGATTCCAGTGCTTTAACTGTGCTTGCCCAAGATCATGTTGGAGGCTTACAAGTTAAGAGAAAATCAGATGGTGAGTGGATTCCGGTTAAACCCACCCCAAATGCACTTATTATCAATGTGGGCGATATAGTTCAGGTATGTTATTATTCAATAATTTGTTCATGTCAATATGATTTTAAGAAAGATTTTAATTTTCATATATTGTTGTTGTAAAGATTTTCACATTGTCAAATTATTAAAAAACTATATAACAATTCATGATTAAATGAATGCTTTAGCTGTAATCATGAATTGAGGACAATATAATTGATTTAGTTGGTTCAATCTAAATGCCCAGATCAATGTGCTCTTGTAGGTTTGGAGCAATGACAAGTACGAGAGTGTGGAACACAGGGTGGTGGTGAACACAGAAAGGGAAAGGTTTTCAATTCCATTCTTCTTCTTTCCATCTCACCATGTTATGGTAAAGCCAGTGGAGGACCTGATAAATGAGCAAAATCCTGCAAGATATAGAGAATACAACTATGGTAAGTTCTCTGCTAATAGAAATCGTAGTGATTTCAAGAAGCGTGATGTGGAGAATATCCAAATCCATCACTTCAAGATATTGGATTAGCTGTTTGGATTGGCATTCCCAATATTTTTCATGTTAGAGAATAACAAGTTGAGCTAGTTCCATCGTTTCAAAACCAAATAAAACTCTCTTCGTTTTATGTCAATTAATAATAAAATGTCGAAATCTTGTTCTATTCTAATTTGTTTTCACACCCCAATTCTCCAAAGCGGAATCGAATCATCAACTGATCATTGAGTAAGGTCTGTTTTAATCTTCAAAATTTTCTTCTATGTTGTAAATCTGAATTTAACTATGCTTCAATCTGCAAATCTGAAAGTAAACATCCATATATTAATTAATGTAACCTGATGAATTTGAATGAGACCATGGAGAAGGTTTCAAAGTTCAGCTTTTAAAACAGAACTATTAACAAGGTTGCAATAGAAGCCTCTAATGAAATCTCCAGCAGAGTCTCTGAATGTTATTGACATAAAAGAATTTACTGTTTTTACAATTTATATAATTCAACGGACTAAGGAATTTTGGTTCATTGTAGATGTATGTTACGGTGTAAATAACTGAATTTTCTCTTTAATGTGATGTTTTAGTATTTGCAATGTTAATTTTAATATAGGTACCTATAAATGGAATTATATTATTTTTAAATAATCTTTATATTCTTTGATTTTGACTATCTGTGTATAATTTAAAAGATTTTAATATAAATGTGTTGGTAAAATTGATGTGTTAAGCTGCTGAAAAAGCTTACGAGTAGGCATGTTGGGAGTAGAATTATAAATATCTTAGTAAAGAAATAAATAAGATGGAGGATAGCGTAGTTAGCAGTCACAAAAGATAGAGGCAGGCCAAGAAAAAGTATAAACAAGATAAATAAGAAGGATTTAAAAGTTAATATTTTCTTATAAACATTATTTACAATAAAATATTATGATATTGTTTGACCTATATAACTATCTTATAGAATAAAAAAATGATTATTTTTGTATAACTTCTTTGATAAAAATAAATTTAATTTTAATATATTATTATTGTAAAAAAAATATTATCAAATAATAAAAATTATCATAAATAAAATTTTTAAGATAGTTATTATAAAAGTGTTTTTCAATGATAAATTAATAACTTACGATTATATGATACTATCGAAAAATTACAGTACATTATAATTAAAAATAATAATAAAAGTTGCAGGTGGACACCGTTGAATCTAAAAAGATTCATATATTAAAAGTATCAGCTTTCTGATTAATATATAATTGATTGATTGAAATTTAACCTAACAAATTTAATTTTTTATTACTTAAGCTAATGGTGCTGATTGTAATTAATGGAGCACATCTCATCTTAACAAATAGAAATTATTTTAGATGCGAAGCCGAAACTGATTAGATTTATCATTCATGTCAATATGAATTAGTAAAATAATTAACTCATGAGTGATATTTTTAATATTTTAAATTAGTAGATATATTTTTAAAAATATAATCAGTTCAGATTTTTAACTTGACTTAATCCTATTAATTTGTATATATTTATTATTTAATTTTTTATAAAAATTTATAAAAAAAATTTAAAATTTTTAAAACTTGTTATTTTATATCTTCAAAATCTATGATTTTAAAAAAAATATTTTTTTTAAGTTGCATCTATGTGTATTATGTATTTAGATGGTGATTTTAAGAAGATATGCATTCACATGTACTGATGTAATTTTAATTTATAATAAAAAATAACTTTTGAATTAATAGAATATTAAATTATTTAAAATTTTTGAAGTTCTCTACTCTTAGAGTCTCAATTTATCATAAAAATAAGCTTTTGTATTGATAGATTGCTCAATACAATTTTTTATCTTTCTCATGTTCTCCCTGCACAATGGTCACTTCTACATTGCACAATTTCTATAATTTTCGCTTAAACCATTTTTTATTTTTTTTGCTAAACTATATGTTTTTCAATTTAATATTATCTTCATTTGAACCATGACGAATTACTGCTAAACTTTATTTAAAATTAAGAAAATTTAAAAAAAAATACTTAAGTTGGGAGAGAAAACTATGGAGTTTAATGTAATAAAGAATGATTTGAAGTAATAGTGGAAGCTTATAAAAAAAAGTTTGACATCATGGATGTAACCAATAGATTTTACATGGTCAAATTAGATCATTATGTTGACAGAGAGATGGTGATCAATAGAAGGCTTTAGATGATCTTTGATCACTACCTCGCTGTAACAAATTGGTCCCCAGAGTTTATTTTTTCATTCACCAAAGTCACTCATATGTCGATATAGATTTGTTTTTTGGATTTGAATTTAGTTTTTTTTTTTTATGATGAAAGCTTTCTCTTGGCAATGGCTTTTGCGGTGGGCACACTTGTTTGTGTTGACAATAATGTAGAATGGAGAAGGTATGTTAGGATTTGTGTGGAGTTAGATTTAATTCAACTAGTGGTATGTAAGGTTTGGTTAAAAAGTCACTAGTATGAGGTAGAATATGAGAGATTCTATGTGATTTGTTCTCAATGAAGGTGTTATGGTGACCATGCAAAGGATTGCACTACCTCCACTGTCTTACTAGAGATAGCAGATGAAACAATTTATGAAACGGTACAAGGGGCAAACATGAAAACTGGAACAATTGCAAATAATGAAGATAATAATGATAATGAGAAAATCATGAAGAGAGGTAATCATGTTATTGTAATGGTTATGGAAAATAAGGATGATGATGAGGTACATGGAGAGTAACTTATAGCTACCAAGCAAAAAAAAAAAAAAAAAAAAAACCTGATAATGGTTGAACTAAAGAAAAGTGAAATAGGGCTCAAGGAGCTTATAGAGTAGAAAGGAAAGGCTATTTTAGGAGTTTCAAATATTATCTTTCAAAAGAATATGAACCCACAAGTCAAAATTCTCAAATCTAGTAATAATAAAATAGGATAAAAGGGTGATCTTCGTACCATTTACCGTGGAAAAGAGGAGACAAAGGGGCAACAAGTAGCAAGTTCTTAGCAAGACAAATTTATAGACCTACATTCCAAGAGTGTGATGGGATCATATGTAGCACAAGGGCATTTGTATGCCCATGCAGAAACGCCTAATCCTAACTCACTGAGTCAACTTATTAAAGTGTAGCACTTGATGAAGGTCAAGCCATGAACAATGAACTTGGCCAAGGAAATTGTTTCAAATTTTTAGAGATATAGTTGGCAAACACCATAGTTCCAAGATCGATGACAAGAAATAAAGAAGAGGTTATGATGGAAGTGGTAGGGGATGCACACCCCTCTCCAATGCTTAAATCTCATTCCTTCATAGCTCACCTTATCATGGTGTTAAAATTTAAAGAACTTTCAATCCTCTCCTAAAATATTAAAGGAGTTGGTAAGAGGGAACAAATGCATGTCAAGGATCTTATTAATAGATACTAGTCTATGATACTTTTTCTTTGTGAGACTCCCATTAAATTCACTGAAACTTCTCAATTTTGGAGAAAAAACAAGTTATTTAGTGATCTTAATAGCTTAGGCCCAATGACAGTGAGGTGCTTTACAGGTTCTTGCTTAAGAAATTGATTAGATCAGCCTTGTAGTCATTCATATTGACCCTCATTTTATTACCATTAAAATAAGAATAATGGACAAAGAATAATATTGTACTTGTGTTTATGTCAACCATGTGGCCGCTAGAAGAGAAGAGACGTGGATAACCTTAAGGAATGTTTATGTCAATTTTTATACTCCATGGATGTTGATTAGAGACTTTAACAAGGTGTAATTCTCTTATGAGCAAAAAGGTGGAATTTATTCTTACAATAAGGCTTTGATGTTCAATATCAAGTTTAATGAGTGTGGCTTAACCGATATTCCTTCATTAAGTTGCATATTCACTTGGCATAAGAATCCTAATGGTAAATGCATTTTTTCAAAGAAATTAGATAGAGGTGTGACAAATCTATCTTGGTTAAGAAGCTTTTCAGAAGTTTTTGTTGAAACACTTACTCTTCTACACTCTTATCATAGTCCCCTATTGTGAGGGTTTTTCTCAAGTGTCCTTGACCTTTTTGCTTTCAAGTAGCTTGGATAGTTCACAAAGATTATGATTCAATTCTTTTTAAGACTTGAAAGAAAGGTAAGGGAAATCTCTTCTTATCACTTCAGAAGGTTAGAAAGGATTTTATTATTTTCAACAATGAGACATTTGATAATATTACTTAGAACAAGAGAAACATTAAAGGCATAATTAGGAAGGCTCAAAGGCGGTTAGAGATTAACTCAACTTATCCCACTCATCTTAAAAAGTAACTACAATATGAGTATAACAAAGTTCTTTTTCAAAAAGAACTCTTATGATACCAAAAGTCCAAAGAGAATTAAATTAAGCTTAAAGACTGTAGCACCTCTTTCTTTTTTTTTCATGGCAAACTATGATTAGAAGGAGAAGGAATAAAATTCATGGTCTCACTCTTCCTAATAGTATATGGTGTTCTAATGATTTTATTTTACAAGAAAAAATTCATAGGTTCTTTGTGAATCTTTTTTGTAATCAATCTTATGTCATAGATGCAATGTTCTATTTAAATAATATTCCAACAATCACACACAACAATGCTTTCAATTTGGAGCAGTCTATGACAAAAAAAGAGGTCTCATTATCTTTCCATGCTATGCACCCATGCAAGGCTCTTAGGCTTAATGGATTTCAAGCAATCTTCTACAGATAATACTGACATGAAGTGGGAAGCGATATAAGCAAACTAATTAGTGATACTTTTGAGAAAGACATGTTTTATAACAAGCTCTTAGGCAACGTTTGGTTACGGGACAGAGGCACAGAGACAGAGACACGAAGGTACGCGTATTATGTTTGGCTAGTATCTCGCTATATAGATAGAGACACAAAGGACACGCAGGACACAAAAATGAAGGACACTAGTGTACTTCGTGAAAAAATGGACACTGGTGTCTCAGCTCCAGAGACATGGAAGGTAAAGTTTTGAAGACAAAAATAACCTTCATATTTTTTAAAAATTACATAAACTACCCTTTACCCTAAAATTGCCTCTGTTCTCTCTCATCAATTTTGCTTCACCTACATTGCGTAGTTCATCATCTTCTCAACGAAGCAAATTCAGTGCTCATCAACTAAGGCAAGTAAATATCTTTATCTCTTTGTTTTTCCTGTGATTTCACTCTTGGTCACTCCTTCTATTCTCCCTCTAATCTCCCTCTTGCTCAGTTTCGTTGTTTTGGAACTTGAATTCCTTTTGTAT